CCTATTCCTATATAAATTTTATTCTATAAATCCTAATTTTTACACAAATGAAGTTTACTCAATATTTGTGTTATTCTAACCAATGGATTCACCCTAGATTAATATTACCCATATTTATTTATTTATCGCACAAATGAATTCTTTTTAGATTAATTTGAGTTATTGGCCCTAAGGTGAACTTATATATTTTTGAAGACTTTGGGGTACTATTAAATTTAATATAACGACTTGTCATGATTAATACATTAGCAGATTGGTCAAGTTTAGTTGTATAGCAATATATTTTACACGGATAGGTTCAATCTATTTATTCTATAAATAGTAAATTGAGACTCGGCACAATATTAATCTAATTGTTTAATTAAAACCTCACAAAATTTTATAAAGCTTAATTTAATTATATGACCATTATTTCATGTGAATTGGTTTACCTTTATATATATAGACCATTAGAGTTTAGTAATATCCCATTAATTACTCCTAGTGAAACTATGTTATAGATAGAGTTCCATTATAAATGGTCATCATTTCATGTGTATTTAGACGTCATGGCACGCAACACATGGTTCACGTATTTAGTATTTAATCCATAATTTAAATTAGTAATTAACCTTCCGTTTGTCTGGCTTTGTTTTCTTGTGCGTAATTATTTGTAGGGTTAACAATATTATATTCTCGTAAATTTATCTATTACTTAAATTTTAGATCCTTACTTTACTTTCTTTGTGATCATTTACGGTTTGGCAAGCAATAGCAATCATAACAACCAGCATGATGTAAAAGTTTTAAAAAGTTCAAAATTTTAGTGATTTTTATTGTCTTGAATTTTCAGGATGTTACAAGTCTCTTCCAAGGAGTTCTGGTGCTGGCCGCGTGAAGGAAGTGGCTCCTCGATGGCTTGGCTGATGTCCATTGTTATATGTCAGAGCTGCTTTTCGCTTTGGCGACTTTCGTGTCTTCAGTGTCGCTGCAGTTGTGAAGTCGGCGCTGCTGGGTCGCTTGGGCGGATAGCTCGGCAATGATAACACCTCTTCTACGATGTGGGAGTTGTTATGTCGCTTTTGTGTTTAGCTTGGCGGTGACATCCTGCTTTTGGGCTCCGCCGTCGTTGTTAGTTGTGTAGCGGTGGGTTTCAGCCGGTTTTACTATAATTAACCGTGTAATTGTGTGGTTTTCAGGCCCGGTTTTCCTTATAAACTGGGTCAATTCTCTTCTTCTAAATATAAAAGTGGAACAAAGTTCCGCCTTAGGTTTCAAAAAAAAAAACACTCTGTAGAATCTAACCAAACTAAGACCCTGTATAGTTTCAAAAATATCACATCGAATCTTTAGACACATGCATAGAGTATTAAATATAGATAAATTAAAAAAACTAATTGCACAGTTAGGGGGGAAATCACGAGACGAATCTTTTGAGCCTAATTAGTCCATAATTAGCCATAAGTGCTACAATAACCCACATGTGCTAATGGTGGATTAATTAGGCTTAGGCTCAAAAGATTCGTCTCGTGGTTTCCAGGCAAACTATGAAATTAGTTTTTTCATTCGTGTCCGAAAACCTCTTCCGAGGGTCAAACGTCCGACGTGACACCCAAAAATTTTCTTTTCGCGAACTAAACAGGTTCTAAGTGTCACATTTTAGTTTAAAATACTTATATTTTGGGATTGTCCATATTCATAATCCTATGAAGCGTTCCATCCTATGAAGAGAGTACTACTTTTGTGTTCTTTTTCCTGATAATTCTTTAACGAAATTTTGACCATCTCTCTGGGTTTTTCTTCCCCATGGTGTAAACGGTAAACAGGTTTACCGTCTGGAATTCATATTGTGAGACGCACATGGTAGAAAAGCATGTACAGCATGGTTCGAACAAAGAAAAACTAGGAAGTTTTTTATTTTTTTAAACCTAAGGTGGAACTTTGTTTCACTGTTATATTTAGAAGAAAAGAATTGACTGTCGAAACTAGGAAGTTTTAGCTTAGGAAAATCTCTTTTGCAAACTTAGAGCTATGGACTGTCGAAATAATTACATTTAAGAAAGTAAACAAATTCCTAACTTACTGTCAGGCAATCACCTTTTACCCAAAGCAAATTCTCAATTATCATAATTCACCGCACCTGAATTTGATGCTTGTGTCATCATATCACAGTTGTTCCCTCTCCCTACCTTTCACCATCAGAGTTTTCGGTGCCAAAAGAGACACAACACATCGTCTTGATTCTTGATTTAGAGTATTCGCTATACTCATGGCGATTAAGGTTTTGGTGCATGTGGTGTTTTGTTAGCGGTAGTCTAATTGATGTATGGGTGGAATTAAAGTGCAGCAAGTGTCATAAAGTGTATATATGGTAAGTGATACGCGAGACAAATTATACAACATGCCAACAATTTGGTAACATACTAATTTATTATTGAGTGATAAAAATTAATTACCTTGGGGCTATAAAAATTAATTACCTTGGGGCTATTTAAAAGTGCTTGCTACAACGTTTTGAACTACAACTACACAGCACGGACTCTCGACGCAACATTTGAATGTACATCGTATAACCGCTACGGCATTCATTTAATGAGCTTTGATGCACGTTTCATAACAACTCGCTGGCTGCAAGCCTGTAACCGTGTTGGCTGGCTGCTACAACAGCTATATCCAACACTTTCAAACAACCCCAAAATATGTGCAGAAGCATGCCACCAAACAAAAAAAAACCCATAAACACATCCTATTATTGCCGTGAAAAAACAAAATAGCCTAAGGACAGAAATTGTGTTAAGCAGCTGAAAATCATCATGAGTTGAGGATGATCCGCTTGGTTAAGTTTTTGAACAGATCCGTATGTTTATAGTGGATTATCTAAGTGATTATAAATATAAAAAATATATATATTGGTAAATAAGCTTGACAAAGAGCTTTGAAGAAGGCATCTAAAAAATAGAAGTAAATTCTTTTTTTAAGGTATTCTTAGCAAGTAATCCGCAGAAAAGTGCCATGTTAGTTTTAAGCCCACATGATAGGAGTATTTTTTAAAGCCGAAACCAAATCTGTTTTTGTCCAATCCAGGTACCCAAATGGTCCTTTCTCTGTACTGATGGAGCATCGAAGTTTCGTTGCTGCGGAACAGAAACAAAACTGCTGATAAGACTTTGTTATCCTCTTCCAGAAAAAAAAAAGAACGAAAAACGAGCATGTCAATGTTGACGTTGGCCTTTTCTTTCAGATTTTTTCGTCGAAACAAAAAAGGCGTCCTGTGCTTGCTGGAGCAGCACATGGACGGACAGACTTCCATAGCGTCCTTGACACTTCTTCTGTCAGTGATGGAGATGGTTCATGGAGAATCAGAATACTGTTACTGGTTGGTTGGTTAGTTGGTTGCCTAATAAATTCGCAATGTCCTCCTCGGCCCAACTCTCATTCGGCCCAACAAAGTCGTTACGTTGAAATGGGCCTATCTGACCAGTCGAGAGTGATGGGCCTTGATCCAATTCTGAGATGGCCCAACACATTTGCACACGTGGACTGGTGGTCTCTGCAGAGAGAGGCAGAGTAGTAGGTGCGGTCCGTGGATGATGTCATTGCATTTGCAGCTGCCCTTTCTGATCTTATCTGACCATGATGCGTCATATCCATCCGCAAAGCTAAAAAAGAAAATCTGACAAATCAACTTTATTCTAATAAATTAATTTTGTGTGATATGGAAATATCTGTCCCTTGATAATATCATGTGGACAATTTAGGTAGATCATAAGTATACCAGTACTACATATATAGTATAAATCAATACACTATGATAAGGTGGGATAAGATCAAAGTGCTATTGATCACATGGAAATTTTATGTTGCGTTGTGTATTTGTGCCAAGATTAAAAAGGTAAACTCGTGGAACTTATCAAAGACGAATATGCAAAAATGTATACATCTATTGTGTCATTTATGATTTTTATCGTTGATATGATCATTCTCATTATGTCTATCTATATCTTCGAAGTACAACAGGATTGAAATAGAGCTACTCCACATAACAATATCAGAATTTAATAAGAAGTCAGGGACAACTACAACATTGAAAAAAGGAAAAAAAAACAGTGGAGAACCCTCGTTATGAGATAAAGGTGGCACAATGTGCTATTTATAAGTAAAAATGTATATCAAGTACAATTGTACTTATATCATAACATTGCGTAGAGAACTCTGTTAGCTATACATGAAGGAATAACTCTTTTCAACATTACCATTTATTAATAATAAATAATCAACAAACACACACGACGTATTGTAAAATTGGACAAATCAATATTGCTATAGGAAAGTGAGGCATGCCAACTACTATGACACATCACAGTAGGTCAACATCATCTCTCTCATCTCTAGTAGTACTAATAGACTTCCAACAACTTCCACCTATATATTAATGATAGGTAATTTGACATTCAACCATATGTTCACATATCGCTTCATGTATTTACCACTAGTTAAAAAAAATCCATATACCGTTTATCGCAATATTAACGTACGATATTTTTTTTTTCATGCCATGTAATTCACGTCAGAATCATACATTTCACCCGCCCATAATTAAAAATGCTTAGTATTTTATAAGGGGTAAGAACGAGGAGAAAACTAGTAATGCCACGCATCGTATTATCCAATCTGAGATACCATAACTTATATCCACATTTATATTTACGCTATTCGTTAGCCAAAAAATAAAACCCTAGCTTTTTTATTAACATGTGAGAAGGTAAACCGGTGAAACCTAACAATATGTCCGACAGACAAAAATGTGCTCATAGTGCCATATATACACAACAATATTATCCCATCCATTTACAAGTATACTCACATCCACATCATCATGGTCTAACAGAATCCATCCAGAGGTATCTCACCTGAATAAAAAAGGAGCAGCAGCAAAAAAAAAAAGTGAGAAAAAAATAATCCAACAAGAACTCGGGGAAGAAGATTACATTACATCGGAAAAGGAGAAAAAAAAGAGAGAGAGAAGAGCCCGAAACAAACGTGACACCAAAGTGGGTAGTAGACACAGAGGTGGCGCAGGCAGCACACAGAAAACCAGCGAGATTTTACACACGCCTCGCCCTCGCGTTCGCGTCGACGGGAATAAAATCCCCCGCGTCTCCTCTTCTCCTCGCGCAACTCGCTCATCTCATCGCTCTCGCCTCGACTCGCCTCCACGAAGCCCACCTCGACTCGCCATGGCCATGGACGACCTCGCCGGCTCATCCTCCTCCTCCTCCGCGATGGACGCCGTGGTCGCCGACCCCTCGCACGGGTGGCAGAAGGTCACCTACCCCAAGCGCCACCGCAAGCAGGGGGCGGCGGCGCTGCCCTCCGCGGCTGCTCCCGATCTGGGGTTCCTGCCCAACGGCGGCGGCAAGGTCAACGTGTTCGAGGCCGTCGACAGGAACGCCGAGAAGCGCCACCGCGCGCTCCTGGCCGCCAGGGACGCGGCCGACCCCGACGCCGCGCGGATCGCCGCCGCCACGGCCTCCGCGTACTCTGACGACGACGACGACTCCGACGAGGCGCAGGCGACTCGCCCCGAGGGGGAGGTGAAGAAGCCCAAGGTGAAGAAGCCGAAGAAGCCCAAGGTGACGGTCGCCGAGGCGGCCGCTCTGATCGACGCCGAGAACCTCGCGGCGCATCTCGTGCAGATCTCGGTAATACCCGTCCTGTTTCGCTGAATTCCTCTTCGGAAATCGTCAGATCTCGACTTGTTTGGACTGGATCATATTTTTGTCTTTTTGTTAAGGATCGGATCTGATGAGGGTTTAGTGCTGGATCGTTCGGGTTTTTTCAAAATTCCGACAAAATGTTGGGTGTCTACTAGTTTTCGATTAAGATGGAGGAAAATTCTGGTCGTACCAGAAAGTTGGGATCTCCTTGATGTAAAAACACGGGATCTTGGGATCTTGGAAAGCATGGGGGTTTTGGTGCAACTATTAGATCTTTTAACGTGTCATAGCTCTTTTCTGTTTTGTTCCGTAGATTCTAACCCTCTGTTCTGTGTGCAGGAATCTTACGAGAACCAGCAGGATATTCAGCTCATGCGGTTCGCCGACTACTTTGGCAGGTCATTTGCAAGCGTGAGCGCCGCCCAGTTCCCCTGGGCGAAGATGTTCAAGGAATCACTAGTGTCCAAGATGGTTGATGTGAGTTACTAGAGTTGCCCTAACTCTTTTACGCATAGAGATATTGCATTTGGACCAGATATAAAAAGGCAATTGCAGTTTATAGGGTGATTCACTTGCATCACATATGAAATGTTACTGCGGTTTATCTGATTGTTAAGTTCTTATGATCTTTTTCTTGTATCTACTTACAAATTTTACGAAAATTAATGGTTGTGCATGAACATTGATACTGATTCATGCATCGTCATCATTGAGTTGTGAAATGCTAATGCTGCTTTTGGTAACTGCCAGTAATATTATTCGAATTATTTGCAGACTTGACGTCGCTGTAAACGTGCTTGTCAAGTATGCTAGTTTTAAGGATGGTTATGCTATTTCTGCTCACCCTGTGGATGCATTATCAATTAAAACAAATTATTTCCGAACACGATTATTCATGTATAACAGGATACAGCTGGATAAGTTCAATGCAATTACTGCAACAACTTGAGTTTACATTTAACGGTTTACCTGAAATCCGCATTGTCCAAAAATCTTTCTGTATTTGTGACATGGTATTGTGTTCAGTTCCTTCCATTTTCCGCTCTGAAAGGGGGAGGCGTGGAGGCAAGTTAATTTGGAAGGTGGGGGGTTGGTGCGGATTGTAGTATGAGGAGTAAATGGGTGTATCAGGGTACACATTAATTGGATTAGCATGGAATTTCTTAGCCTCTAATAAATCGGAAGCGATTGCTTGATAAATATGCAATATGTTTCATTCCAGAAAAGAAACGACACATACTCGTGCAATTAATAATTCAGTGTATTAATGGATTCTAGTACTTCTGTTTTGATTTTATAAGCATGAAAATGTCCCTTTATTTCCGTGTCTCTCTATTTTTAGATTTGCATCTAACTAGTTAATATATTGTGCAGATTCCCTTGTGCCATATTCCTGAACCAGTTCGCAACACAGCGAGTGACTGGATCAATCAGAGATCTCCTGATGCCCTGGGAGACTTTGTCATGTGGTGCATAGACAGCATCATGTCTGAACTGTCAGGTCAAGCAGTAGGCGCTAAGGGTTCAAAGAAGGCCGCACAGCAAACTCCAAGGGCCCAGGTAGTCCTTGTTCGATCACGACTTAACTCTCACTATACAAGCCTCTGCATGGTATCATGGACTTGTGATGTAAAGCAGCATAAAAATGCTCTACAAGATGGAAATAGCATGCGTTTTATATTTGCGATATGTCCTATATTGTATTCACATCAACTGAGCCTAGCGCTAATGCTGTCATCTAATGAAGCAACAACCTTGCAATGAGAAAAAAAAATGTAGGCTTTGCAATTGAAATATTATATGAACAATTTGCTCACATCCTGCATTGCTGGAAGCTTGTGCTTGTCAATACCATTTACTTTAGATAGATGTGAATGTTTCTGATTGTGTAATTCAATTAGTTTAGCCTTTTCTCATTGCTTTTAACACTTCCTCACAAGAAGTAAGATAATAAGCAGATTCGATTCGATTCGATCATTTGTATTAGTTTATTACTCCGATCTATGGATCACCACGATTGCTAAAAAGTTTATATAAATTCTAAGAAGAACTGCATTTTGATGACAGAATATTCAAGTCCTACTTTATGTAAGGTGTTCATGAAGGAGATTAAACTTTTTTTTTTCTGTTTTAGGGCCCTGAAGATTGCATGGTGGTAGATATGATAAAACCTAAAATGCTGATCTAATAATCTGACTGCCATAATTCACACTTGCTTATCGGACCTGTGATTGTAATTATGGATGGTTCTATCTTGTTTTCAAGTTGGTTTATAGTTTTTAAATGACTATTGCTCTGTTCAGGTTGCAATATTTGTTGTGCTTGCCTTGACTGTAAGAAGGAAACCAGAGGTACTAACAAACGTCCTGCCAAAAATAATGGGAAACAATAAGTATCTTGGGCAGGAAAAGCTTCCAATCATTGTTTGGGTTATTGCTCAGGTATATTTTCCCTGCTGTGCTCTTACTTGTTCTGAATGGTGCTAATTATTTTCAGTGCTCCATACTATCATTTTATATTTTCTTAAAAAATATCTCTTGCGTGATGTATCATAGGCATCTCAAGGTGACCTAGTGACTGGAATGTTTTGTTGGGCTCATTTCCTGTTTCCCACACTGTGTGCTAAGCCAAGTGGGAATCCCCAGACGAGAGATTTAGTTCTGCAGTTGCTCGAAAGGTATGGCTCAACTTAAACCTGATTAAGAATCTAGAGCCGTTTTTCTGTTTTCTGATATATATCAGAAGTATTTATATGCATAATCTTTTTTGATATTTCACGTGCAGAATTTTGTCTGCCCCCAAAGCTCGAGGCATCTTACTGAATGGTGCTGTTAGAAAGGGGGAACGCCTGATTCCCCCTGTTACATTTGATCTGTTCATGAGAGCTGCATTTCCTGTTTCCAGCGCTCGTGTAAAGGTTTGTTCTTAATTCTTCCTTCCTGTTTGCTGAAATTTTGATATGCGATGATGTTCTGACTTCTGGTCATCATATGGAACTCTTTAGGCTACAGAGAGGTTTGAAGCAGCCTACCCAACAATCAAGGAGTTGGCCCTTGCTGGTCCTCCTGGCTCAAAAACCGTGAAACAAGCAGCACAGCAGCTTTTGCCATTGTGTGTGAAAGCAATGCAAGAAAGTGAGCTGTCATCCTTTTTCACCCTAACTTCTCTTTCTATATAGAGCTTGTTACCTTTGTTTTGCAACTCTGAGTTGTTGCATTATTGCACATTATGTTCAGATAACGCAGACCTCACCGGGGAGTCTGCTGGTGTATTCATTTGGTGCCTGACTCAAAATGCAGAGTCCTACAAGCTGTGGGTGAGTAATCTTTGTCTGTCTGCCTTTATAACACCAAGTGAGAATGTTGCAACTGAAGTTTTCTTAATTCTGATTTGCAGGAAAGACTTCATCCTGAAAATGTTGAAGCCAGTGTTGTAGTCCTTAGCACTATAGTCACAAAATGGAGCGAGCTGTCTCATAAGCTCAGTGCTGAATCTCTTAAGGTGACTCTGAAGAACTTAAGGACTAAGGTATGATATGTCCCTGTTGCATTACTTGTTTTGTTTGACTGTTTATGATGTTTGTTTCATTCTTATGTATATGCAATGTGATGCTATCCTTTGCATAGTAGTAAAATTCTGTATGACTAGTGAATTCTGATTCATGACAAAAAGAGAGCTTCTTGATAGCACAATTAGTTTGGGATAAATGGCGTTACCTCCTTTTTTTTTTTGATAAAATGGAAATCAAGGTGCCACAACTCTTAAGGACATGCAAAAGCAAGTAAACTTGTTTGACACCACCACCTTTAGCTGTTCACATACCCCCTAGGTATTTGTACTCCGTAGTAATATGTGCAATTGGTTGCAATTGCAGAATGAGGCGGCCCTAGAAGCAGCAACGGACTCTGGAAAGCAGGCATCTATCAAGGCCGCGGACAAGTATTCCAAGGAGATCCTTGGAAGGTTGAGCCGCGGCGGAGCCTGCCTGAAGGGCAGCCTGCTGGTTATCACGCTTGCTGTTGCCGCAGGCTTTGTGCTATCTCCTAACCTGGAGATCCCATCCGACTGGGACAAGCTCCAGGCCATGGTGGCGTCTCACCTGTCGTTCTAGAAGTATATTTGTCCAGCAGTTGATAAAAGCTTATACAGAGAATCCAAAGGAGATGAAGTGAAGATTCTAGGAGTGAATGAAGAAGGCTAATAAGAAGGGATAGATCCTAGAAAAGAATACAGTTACCTTTTTCGCATCTTTTCCCAAGCCCGTAGTTGGGGGGAGATGCAAGCAACTTTGCAGAGATAGAGAGTTAAAAAGTTTTAATCGGGTTAGACTGATCGGTCAGAAGAAGGAAAGGTTGGGCCAAATGGTTCGGCCTGAGGACTAACACCACCTTTGCTCTATCTCGTTTTTCTGCATCTGCAGCATCTCAGATGATGAGAAACATTTTTGCTTCTTTTGTTTTTCCTTTTTCTTCTGAATCTTGTTTGCTTTTACCAACATGCCATGTGTGATATTATTGCTGAATCATCTGTACTTGTTGGTGTTGATGATATCATATCCTGCTATGTTGTGGTGTACCAATCATCCTATACTTGTTGGTTATGATGTTGGATGGGTGTACCAATCATTCCTAAAGGAGTGTGAAGTGTTTTACTCTGTGGTTGCAAGTGGTGAAAGTGAGGAAGCCGTGTGAGTGACGTGTCGACGCAGCGGCGGCCGGTGACGGAGACGGATCGAGGGCAGGAGGAGGAGATCGCCGGCAAAGTGAGGGCGGCGGCACATGGCACATGGCACATGGCCGCGGGCCAGCCTGTCTCTGTACGCTCTCATTCCTTCGTACCAAGGCCAGTTGACTCGGGCGCGACCGAAGCAGCACGATCTCTCTTCTTGCTTTGTTGGTGATCAATAACGTGGACACTGGTCGGTGGTGGCGACCACGCGTCGACGGCCAACCTCGACCGTGGCGGGCCCCGGCCGCCGTCCACCACCCGGGCCGACCATGGGAAGGCAACAACAGCTACTACACCTACACCAGTGAGAGTGGTGGCCGGAGCGGCGCCACAGCAACAGCTAGGACCTACTAGTACAAAGGGTGAGCCAGCCACTGGTAATGGCCTCTTCCCCTCCTCCGCCTCCCCGCTGCTCCTGCTCGCTTCCTGCCCTGCAATGGCGGCTCTCCTCCTCCTCTCCTCCGCCGCTCGGGTACGTAGCCGGTAACACATGACTCAGTCAATCTTGGCACTTGCGGAGTTGCGGTAGCTTCAGTTCTTGATTTGCTGCTGCAGGTTGGCGTGGCTGCGCCACTGGCGCTGAGGCAGCAGCGCCCGGTGGTGCTGCCCGGTGGCCAGCTCCGCACGGGAAGCGGCGCCGGCGCAGCGTCGGCGTGGGCGGCGCGCCCTCTCCGGCCGGAGCTCGCCGCGGTCTCCCGCCCCGCCGTCCCCGCCCGCGGCAGGGCGCCTCTGTTCCGGCCTCGCGCATGTAACGCCTCTGCGGCCCCATTCAATTCTAGCTCTACCACAACTGATTGGTGTAGGACTGACTGACGAATTTCGCCATGGATTTGGTTGTGAGGAGCAGGGATGGCGTCGTCTCAGATTGCCAGCTCCGCCTTCACCTGGGGCACCATCGCCGTCCTCCCTTTCTACACTCTCATGGTCGTCGCCCCCAACGCCGACGTCGTAAGAATTCCTCAATCCTCCAACCCACACACACACAATCGAATTGCTCTCACTTGCTCCTCTAATCTTTCTCTGTGCTGGCGCAGACCAAGCGTGCCGTGGATAGCAGCGCGCCGTACGTCGCCCTCGGCATCCTCTACGCCTACCTGCTCTACCTATCCTGGACTCCCGACACCCTACGCGCCATGTTCGCCAGCAAGTACTGGCTCCCCGAGGTCAGTCAATCAATCAGTGACACCACTCTGCACTCCATGATCACTAGCATTCTCTCAACCTTTCTCTTCTCCTGCGCAGTTGACGGGGATCGTCAGGATGTTCGCCAGCGAGATGACCGTCGCCTCCGCCTGGATCCACCTCCTAGCCGTCGACCTCTTCGCCGCAAGGTGAGCAAATTCTTGATTCATGTGTGTAGTAGTGTACCTATGGATGATGGTTGTATGTGTTGCAAGCGTGAGGAGGTTGTTAAAATGGCTTGAGTTTTGGGATCACAATGCAGGCAGGTGTACCATGACGGCATCAAGAACAACATAGAGACCAGGCATTCGGTTTCTCTGTGCCTGCTCTTCTGCCCAATTGGGATCGCGACTCACGTTCTGACTAAGGTACTGGCGGGTTCAATTGGTCGCTCACATTGATCGATTGTATGTAGGTTCATATTGCTTAGATGGTGTATTTTTATGTGATTCATATATGAATAAAATTTATTCAATTAACTATGTGTTACATCGAGTTCAATGTGATTCTTGTTTTTCCCCACGTATTGAATCGATTTGGCAGCTGAACATCCCTATACCGGTTTAGCGTACTCTACTTTCTCAGTAGCTAATGAAGAAAAGTGCAATTGACAATATGATCAGAGATAAGCGACAACTCTTAAATGTTTGCAAATAAAGAAATGAGATGATTAGAGGGAAATGAATCGATTTGAAACACACTTATTCAAGTGGTACACTGTTCAAACATAGAGGAATTACAACAATTACATTTATGAATGCTATACTAGGCTTATGTGTTTCTTGTCACAGACTACTTTCAATTGTACATGAATGACAGCATTTACAGTTTTGAATGCTGTACTAGGCCTATGTGCTTCTTACAAATAAATGTGCTTTCCAATAAGCAATTACAACAATTACATTTTTGAATTCTATACTATAGGTATGTGTGCTTTTTATAAAATATGTGCACAACCACTAATTAGAGTGGCAGCAACAAATAACATTTCTCCTGAATATTTCTGGTGATCATAACCCTTACTGAACTTGTAATGGTATGACATTACCATCTGGTTTATCCTCACCAAATATCCGGTTCAGTATCAACGCCAATCTGATGCCGGCCTGTGCTAGCCTCTTCTCCACGATTGGGTACCGAGAGTAGAAATAGTCATCTGTATTCCAGGATGCAGAATTTGCCAATTATTATTGCCCTAAGCCCAAAATGACTTCTTGTACTAGTTTTAGTCACAACCACTGTGATATAAAGAAGTATACTCACCTCCTAGAGTAATGTCTTGCTCAACATCTTTGTAGGCATAATTGCAGGACAGATGTATGCTCTCAATTGCATAGCTGCATGACATTGAGTTAAACAATGCATGTCAATTTCTCTTTAAAAATGTACTAGACAGGTGGAAGTGTTTGAGCAGGATATATCATTACTCATTTGCACAGGTTTCCTTTTTGTTGCCACAATTTTCCCAGTGACTGATATCTTCAGACCATCCATCCTACAATTTACACAAACATCAGAAACTGGAAAAGCATTTCTGAACTGATAAATCATTTTACATGTCTGTGCTCTCACTGTGAGGTTCATCTTGAGAGCCTCCACCATGGTATCCAAGCTTCTGTTATAGAAGTCCTTCATGGCCGTCTCTATGATGCTGTTGTCCCACACCTGTAAAAGCAGCACATGAACACAGAAATCTTGTGAGTGAAAAATGGCAGTTTGTGCTGATCTGAATAATTCAGTTGACATGACATGAGAGAAGCAGTACAGACATGGTGAAGGTTTTCCTTCCTCCGGTACCAGTGCACTTTGATGGTGTTGCCCCCTTCGTCTTCCTCGAAGCCGACGTGCAGCGGCTGGTGCACGTCGCCGACGAAGTGGGCCAGGAACATCAGGCTCTCCGTCAGGTTGTCTGGTTTATCAATCAGTGCATGTGTATGGATGTTCAGAGATCATCGGATCAGTGTCCTGCCTGCTGAATCAGAGCACTATTTGGCACTGTGTTTTGCAGATAAGCTTACATGAACTCTTTGAATCGCCATAGCTGTAGAGCTGATCGGTGTAGTTGTTGATAGCCCCGACAACGCACATCCCTTGCTGGTGACGAGAATTATGGCAGTCCCCTGGATAATTGAGAGCCACAAGCAGATTACTCCATGATGAAAGTAAAGCTCATGTTTCAGAAATCAGAGAAATGTTTGTGCCTTAGCTCTACTCATCTCTGCTATCATCTAATCAGAGTGGCAGATTTCACCATGGAATGCTGAATTATTAATGTATACCTCAGTTAAGGTCAGCTGCTCCAATTAGCAAACTTTATCATTCCATTGAAGACCACAAACAACATATCCAGTGGTTAGGATTATCTCTGAACTATACTAGTAATAATTAACAACAGGTCTGTGTGGGCACATGTGTGACTGTCTCTGTCAGACTGTCAGCGGCACATTCCTGGTCCCATAAGAACGTGCTAACAAAGTTTGGAAGATATTTCTCGAGATATTAAGAACGAGAAGAAGCAGAGAACACGCAATTATTATAATCAAGTCGTCAGATTCCTGTTGTTAGTATGTCCTTTTTTTTCTTCCTTGGAGTCTAAACATTCATTTTACATGCACAATTACGACAGATGTCTGGTTTTTATGGTGAAAGCTACTGATTGAATGCAACATGAATTCGTTGTGGTTTGGAACAAGGAAATTAGTGGATCGAATCATTGGTGATGCCGTGAGACTCTGAATCTGTCTGTGATGAGAGTTTGAGTTGTGTATCTTTACTCAACCTCTTTCTCTGATTGTTTGTCCTCCCCAACAAGCAACAGTACGTGCCGGTATAATTTGGATATTCGATAGGGAATAATTCAGAATGGGCTAATGGCATCTACGCTGACGTACTTGCTGCTCATACTGTTACTGATTTTTTTTTCGCTAGCGCAAAAGGATTGCACGTTAATATATAAGAAGAAAAAAAGTTTTTATTACACAACGTAATCACCAGACCGGCTTATGCCAAGGGAAGGGAGAAAAAGCAAAACAAAAATTGAAGCAAGGAAGGCTAATTAAACTACTACGGCGGCTAAACATAACTCCTAACAGAGCGAGAAGGGCAGAGCCACTCTACACTCAAGAAAAACCCAAAAACGTTACTGCTACTACTCCATCCGTTTCATATTGTAAAATTTTTTAGTATTGCTAACATTTATATAGATATTAGTAAATCTATACATATATATATATATATATATATATATATATATATATATATATATATATATATATATATATATATATATTCATTAACATTTATATAAATATGAGCAATGCTAGAAAGTCTTACATTATGAAATGGAGGAAGTGCTAATTAATTGTTTTGAACAGAGAAAAAAAGAATAACGCAAAGCGTTCTCTCGCTCAGCCTGGTTTGCAACCAATGGCGCGCAATTAAGCTCGCTTTGAACGATCAATTTGTATTCTGTAAATGCAGCGTTCATTTGCAGCTATAATTAAGTCGTTATCTTAAAAGAAGAAAATTTGAAGCTAAGATTGTGGAGGTGAGTGAAGACGTACGTGAGTACTTGAAGTTGCAGACTTGGGGGGTGTTGGCGTAGTGGAGAGGACGAGACCAGTAGTAGTGGAATCGCACCTCGTCGGCCCACGGGCACACCGTCGACAGCTCCCCGCCGGCCGACTCCGGCAGCAGCTCCTCCACCGCCGCCGCCGCCTTCTCCGACAGGTACTTCTGCAAGTACAACACTCCGTGTTACTCTCTAGCTGCAGCCTCTTCAGGTGCTGTGCGAGGAGAGGAGGAAGGGGATTAGCAAAGCCATGGTGTGCGGAGACCTCGGCGATCTTGCAGACGATGATGTGGCCCTGCTTGCCCCACGCCTCCGCACGCCGAGGCGCCGCGGTGAGGGAGACGACGGAGACGAAGGCGGCGAGAGGCAGCAGCCGGAGGCGGAGCAGAGGCGCTGCGAGTGCCATCTCCGGTGGTGGTCAGCTCAGCCTCGCCGGAGTGGTTGGGTCGTGGGCTATTTATTGGGCGGAGAAAGAGCACGAGAGGAGAAGGTAACGTAGCGGTGGCATGGGCTGGGCTAGTGGGCCAAGATTATCCGGATGGGCCGGATGCTTGTGATGCTGAGGGCAATTTCGGCCCATAAATTTTATACAGATTTTTATCATGCCGACAACAGTCTCTGGCGTTTTTATCGGAGAAAATTTCCAGACTACGACATGATACATTGCTACTCCTGCCAAATTTGTTGCTCCATTTTTTTTCTCATGAAATCAATTGGTGAGGCTGATTTTCATACAACGACAACACTGGCTTTGTTTGAGTTCATTGTACATGAAGATTAAGTGTAAAACATGTAAAATGAGAAAATCATTAGCTTGATTAAGTTTAAATTATTTTGAACTTAAAAAATGGATTTATCTGATATTTTATAGTAATTTATATATATATTTCTTTTTTTTTGCAAAAAAATGTATTGTTTAGCATTTTGAAAAGTATACTAATGGAAACCACGAGTAAAATATGTATCTTAATAGAAAAAAAAGGGGCAATACAGCTATGCAGCTAGCTGTTGCATTCATCCTGCAGGAGAAAAACACACACACTGAATAACAAACACTGCTGTGAATGCACGGACATGGCACCAGGAGGGTCCAGCAGTAGTCAGGCGTGTGCATGGGTATGAACATGGCCTCAATTTTCAGCAGCGTGTGAACGAGATTGCCGGCCGTGCATGCTCCGTAGTTCCGACAGATTCCTCATCCTCTTTCCCTTTCTTAAAATAATGGCGCGAAATGATACAATATTCCGGAATTCCTATTGGGTGGGTGATCGCTCCTCCATCCACCCAGCGATCACTCCCCTGCCTCTCTCCTATACTATATACTCCTCCCTCCTCTCCCCCCTTCCTCCTCCCCTTCTTCTCTTTCTACTACAGTACACCACACAAAACTTTTTAAAAAACAAAAGTTAGAAAAATTTATGTATAGAAATACTATTTATAAAAAATTTGAATTCAAATTCAAATTTGAATTGGGCATGTAAACTTTTGACTTATAAACTTTGGATCTATACATTTTAGGTGTATAAACTTTAGATGTATAGAAATAATATATATAGAAAATATTTGAATTCAAATCCAAATTCAAATTTGAATTTGAATATAATTCAAATTCAAATTTGAATCGGGTATATAAACTTTAGGTGTATAAACTTTAGATGTATAGAAATACTATATATGAAAAATATTTGAATTTAAATTCAAATTTGAATCGGATATTTGAATTCAAATTCAAATTTAAATTGGATATATAAACTTTTGACTTATAAACTTTAGGTATATAAACTTTATGTGTATAAACTTTAGATGTATAGAAATACTATATATATATATAAAATATTTGAATTCAAATTCAAATTTGAATCGGATATATAAACTTTTGACTTATAAACTTTTGGTCTCTAAACTTTAGATGTGTAAACTTTAGGTGTATAAACTTTAAATGCATAAATTTACTAAAGTAGGAAAGTAATGAGGTGCCAAAAAAGGAAACAGGTGGAGGGAGGGAGGGGGGGCGGGGGGCGACCCGATCGCTACCAGGTAGGTAGGAACTACCCCACTATTCCCGCTTAAAAACCCCATCACCGAGGCACTGATACTGATCGATCGTCTAGCTAGCTTCTTCTACCTCGCATCCGATCAGGAATTCAGGATGCAGCAGTCGATCATGTCGACGCTGCCCCTTCTGCTGCTGCTTCTCTTCTCCTCGCTCTTCCCTGCTCCCTCGCACGCCTGGGGAATCCATGGCCATCTCATCGTCTGCCAGATCGCGCAGGCACGCACATTCTTCCGTCTTCTTCCTCGATCTGCTCCTCGCCTTCTTTCATCTGATCGTCTCGTCTCGTGCAGGGCCGGCTGAGCGACGCGGCCGCCGCGGCGGTGAGGGGCCTGCTGCCGTCGTACGCCGGGGGCAACCTGAGCAGCCTCTGCTCCTGGGCCGACGGCGTCAAGCTCAGGTACCCCTGGTCGGCGCCGCTCCACTACATCGACACCCCGGACCACCTCTGCAGCTACACCTACGACAGTTTGTTGATTTTGTCCTCAAATTCGACTGAAATTTGCATGGACATGCTGTCACATTGTAGCAGCATGCATCATGTTGGTTTCTTGTGTTGCATTGTCAGGAGACTGCAAGGACGAGGATAGCTTCAGGGGGAGGTGCGTCGCCGGCGCCATCAACAACTACACCTCCCAGCTCCTCACCTATGATGCAACATCCCCTTCTACTCAATGTAATACTGCTCCATTTAATTCAGTTCTGCAATTTTTTTTGCCTTGTTAGTCTCAGGCTGATGATAAGTTTCTGATCTTGAGTTCTTCAGATAACCTGACACAAGCACTTCTGTTCCTTGCACACTTTGTGGGGGACATCCACCAGGTACACCCAAAAAAATGTGATTAGTACGCTCTGTAAGTACTTGTATAGTAGACTAGTGTAGTAATTAGTGTTTAATCATTTGGAGATGACAGCCGCTTCATGTGGGGTTTACCTCCGATAAAGGAGGAAACACCATTGATGTGCACTGGTATACAAGGAAGACTGTTCTCCACCATGTAAGTCCAATGTTCAGACTAAGCATCCCACTGCAAAAAGCATTCAGACTAGCATCCCACTTCCCAAAAGAAAAAAAAATCAGATAAAGCATGGATATGACTGTGACAAAATCAATTAGGAATCCTTTGTCTTTGGTATTGTCGTTCAGGTTTGGGATGACAACATCATCAAAACGGCAGAAAACGACTACTATGGGGAAGGCGTGGCTGAATTTGTCGATGCACTGATGCAGAATATAACGGTATGAAAAATGGTTTTCTGGTGTGCTTGAGGCAACTAGCAGCTCGATCTACTTACTGCTTGATGTTTCAGGGAGAATGGTCACAACGAGTGCCAGGATGGGAAGAATGCAGCAAGAACCAGACCACATGCCCAGACACGTATGCTTTCACATCCAAAAGTTCATTTCTGAATTTCCACTTAACTTGATTGATTTCTGGCTGTAACTGATTACAACTATATATGCAAGGTATGCATCTGAGAGCATCGCTGCAGCATGCGACTGGGCGTACAAGGACGTGACAGAAGATTCACTCCTGGAAGGTAATACTACCATTAGCAGTGCCATTTACGTTTGATGCAGAGTTAAACACTTCAGAAAATGTCCTGACCACGGGTTTATTGCTCTTGATTGCTGCTGTTGCAGATGCATATTTCGGGAGCAGATTGCCGGTTGTGAATCTCAGGCTAGCGCAAGGCGGCGTCAGATTAGCTGCCACTCTGAACAGAATATTCAGTTAAAGGAAGACGAACTGCATACATCAGACAGTTCTCTCTCGAAGGAAGATTTTTATTTTCTCTGTTTTGCTGTGTGCCAAAATCTCGAGAGATCAATTTTACTATTTCCTTGTCATGATAAATCGAAATATATTCTTGAGCATGTGTGAAATGGGACTTATTCCAAAATATGTGAGTGTACATGCGCATCTTCCATAGCTCTATATTATCGGGAAAAAAGAAGATGAGCAGAAACATACGCCTACGGCCCAAAGTTCATGTGAGCTAAGCCCATTAGATTCACGACGTAGAGTATACGGCCCAAACATCTCAATACGTGGTTAAAAGGCCTTTTCATTGCAGCCCTGATGGTTATCTGTGCAGGCCGGCAAAGCATCCGAAACTTCGGACTTTGCTCTAAAATAATTGTTGGCAGAAAAATTGAAACCTTGGACTCGAATGTTTACACAAGTAGATATCTGCGTTAAACGACAAGCAGCACGGTGAATTAAAATATGGTAATCATTTTTTATTAAGCTCGCTAGATATTTATGCTTGATTAAACTCTCTCATTGAACTCTGTTGTAGCCATGTACGTACAGCGGCGAAACAAACTTCAAGTGCAGTGGCACGTTGAGAGCAGCGGCCAATTTTCTGCACTCTTTGGAAGACTATGTAGAAAAACATTAAAGTGTGTGATGAATACGAATATATGTACAAATGTAGCTGTAAAATAAGATTTGGAGTTGTTAAAAATAGAGTAGGACTCTATATGTCTCTCTTAAATAGAGAGAGACACCATCTCTTATAACTAGTATATGACAATTGTAGAATAGAATAATCGCTCTAGGTAGGTCGGCCGGGGGACATTAATATCTTGATACATTGTAATTATACTAGTTTAGGGGAGAGTGTACGTAAAAAATATCTCGTAAAGGTAAAGGTTTAGCAGATCTAATCTCTCGTCAATCAATATTGTGGCTCCCTGTTATCATTAAGTTTTAATCTCATATGGTGTGATATCATGTTTGGCTTCGTTATATGTGGTGGTTTCCTTTTTCTCTTTTGATACCTCAAAATCCATACGACTAACATAACTCTATTTTTTTAGAATTATATGTTTAAAACTGTCCAAATTTATTATACGAAAAATATATCATTAAATTTGCCATTGGAAACGTTTCTGCAATATTGTAATATTTTAATTAAATATTAATTAAAGATATAAAAATAATGTTCAAAGTCTATCTCTCATACCAATATACCATGCATGAAAGTCAAAAAGGTAAAAAAAATGGAGGAGGTGTCAACATTGTGCCAGAAGTACTGTTAAACTACAATAACTTGGAATGTACAATGAATTATGGTAGGAAGAATCGTAGAAAAACTCTAGGTGTACTGGTAGTTAATAATTAACATAAACAAGAAGTTTGCATTAGCTTACCGCAGGAACTCAATATTAATTACAATTGTTTTACAGCAACTTAGACACATGATGTTGCTCTATCTCCTATTAATTCCTACTAGTAGCTAGCTTAGCAACTAGTAGACGGTTGGTGCCGTCAGCTTCATGTGCACACACATGATGACCCAATGCCATGGAATGGATGGCAATATGGCATTATACTTAAAACATATGGCTTAGTCTACTCACCAAACTATATATCCGTAGGAGCATTAGTTAATCTTTCTTCGTTGCAACAGGTAGTCGAATTGTACAGTTTGATGTCTCCTCCCTCCCTACAAAACTCGTAACTTGCATGAACAATATGTACTCATGCATGAACCTGGCTGGTTTCAGTCCCAACTAGCAATTAATTAACCTATTTACACAATACCATCCAGCTCACACGTACAAACAAATTAGATTAATAATTTGTCAAGTCTCTGGCATGGATTGGAGGTTAATTGGAAGAGAATTAATCATCAAAACCGGCCAGGTGCGCCCAAGCCTCTGTATGTTGTGGGGTGTCAAATTAAACAACTGATTAATGTGCGTGCATTCCGTTAAAATCAGACGTAACACGTCTGCCTTAATTAATTAACTATTAATTAATTAATTAGAATCGTCTAAGCATCATGTGTGCTCGCTAGATTGCTTTCCTGTTTCACACACTACCAGATTCTGGAATACCTCAAGAACACGGCGAGATAGGCGGAGCTATTAATTAGCAACTGATGATCGAATTCATTCTGTTGCTAGTGTATGCGATTGATGATATATTAGTATTCTATACTTTATATAAATCATGATTGATCCATCAAGAAACCACTTGTTTTCCCTCTCATGGGAGGTTGTCGTAAGTGTGCAATAATTTAGTATATATGTTTAACCCGTCGACGCATCGATTGGTAAATTAATGCAAAAGATTAGTTGTTTTCCTTGGTGATTTACGTACGCAACAAGTTGCTAGCCTTGCTAGATTAACACCACTAATAACTATATATAACTAAACACGTTGATTAAAAATTGTTCGGATGAAAGGTCGACCTAAGGCATAGCTATTACCTAGCTAGAGTGGTATATTATGTGAAAGGAATATGAATCTCCTAATTATAATAGCTGGCTAGCTAGCACTAGGCAGATGCATCATCTCTTAGTTTCCAGCATATGCACACAATATATGTACATACTAGTACGAAGCTAGCTAATTCTCTCTTAATTTGGTCCTAGTTAAGATTATGTGCTGTGAAAAAGCTCTTTATCTCTCTGCACCTATTCTAGAGCTAGCTAACTTGGATTAATCCTAATCAAAAGTTCAGTGTGAATTAATATATTCTGATACGATTCTCACGGGAATAATGTGGAAACGTGCAGAATTGGAACGTGTATGTGTGTGTGTGTGTCTCTGAGAGAGAGATGGGTATCGAAGCAAAGAGCTATAGCTAGTCAAGATCGATGTAAAGGAGATGGGCATGATTAAGGCCAGATATATCTAAGCTCACATCCATTGTCATAATTATCGACATATATTCGATGGCCAACTAGATCGATCGATCGATATACGTACGTAACAGTAGTCAAGATTGCTAGCTAGATGAGAATAAGCAACCAATTCAAGCTGACTGCAAGAGCAGTTAACGATCGATAATCGAATTAAGTAGCGTGTTCAGGTTTGCGATTCTTGGAGTTGTCATTTCATCCATATTTTTTGCATGCCACGATGTAAACAATATAATCACATGCCAAGGCAAGTGTGTGCATGATCGATATATGCATCTAGCTTGATCTCTGCATCTTCGCCGTCGCCGTCGTCGCGGTCGTCGTCGTCGGTGGCGGCGTCGTCGCTGGAGAGGCGCCTAGGTAACCTACCCTAAAACGAGTAGGCTTAGACTCTGGCGATCGATAGATGATGAGATCAACAAACCACCACACACACACACTGATCGACTGAGTGAGTGAGATTAAAAGCAGCCAGGCAAGTTATTAAGTGGAGACGACGTGTTGTTTTCACGCATCATTTCGATCATCGATCCGTTGATTAATTAAGGGAAGATGATCATATTGATCAGGGGCGAGTTGTAGGTAGGAGAAGGAATTAATGGTCGATCTCGATCTCACCTCCTTTCCATCGATCGCTAGCTAGCTAATGGCTTTATCATGATCATGTTGCATCCACCACTGAAAAGAGATAGATCGAGATCGATGTGATTACTAGGTAGCTAAGCTAATAAGCTTCTGTGTGGCCAATAATGGCGATCGCTTTCGGAGGGGATTGATCGAAGCTGAAACTTTGACATGTGTCGACCGTAGAACCCAACCAGCTAAGCATGTGTTACAGTAGTGGTAAACCGCTTTTGATCTCCTTTAATTTATTGGTTGCTGAGGCTTCGATCGTTTGGAAATACGGAAAATTTTTATTGGAGTCACTGTATATGTTTCATATAAAATTCAGTGTTTAATTCAGATGGTTTAGCTGAGTGGTCATACTGTTGGTTTTACTGTAGTTTGGAGCAAACTATATCATTGCAAACTAGCATTGTGTAATTATCGCGCATCCACAATTCCACATTAATGAATATATTGAAATGTAATCCTTTTTGTTTGTTCGCGAAAAAGTTCCACACTACTAATTAAAAAAAAATAAGTCATACTTCAATTATTTTTATAATAAAACAAGTCACAAACAAAATAAATAAAAAAATTATATTGTTTTGAATAAGACGAATAATCAAAAGTTACAAACAAGAACTTAAAGCGACAAGTATTTTAAGATGGAGGTAGTACATTTCATGACTACTCTGCATTGTTTCTATTAATTATTTCCCTAGATCATTTTTCTTGTACACTGTTCAGCATTGCTATGCATGAGGCGATCGATGTTCAGGGCTTGACTTCCCATGCATGCTAACGACATGTGTGTATACTGCGAAAAAGATCGCCATGCATGCATACATACATATGGTAATTAATTTATTGATGAGAGTTGCATTGCATGCGTACATGACGCCGTGACATATCTATACATACAACGCACAACAATTGCTTTCTTAATACCAACTGGGATATACTCACCAAGTTGTTTGTTGGAGGATACAATTAAGCAACCCTTTCATCTTCAGGGCTTCATAATAGTATAGAGCGCCAAAGGAATATTCTTAAGGAATATATAATAGTCTCACTTTACCCCTATAACAATTGAGACATGAAGGGTTCTAACCATTAACCTAGAAAATAATTCTTCATTACTAGTATTTCCTTTTTGTCATCCGAATGCAATCGAGTTTCCATTTTATAGATTGAGGCTAAGAGTTATTGCTTAGCCATTATTAATTATAGCAACGATATTTTATCTCTCCTCTTTCTCTTTCTTCAATATAAGCAACATTTCTAATTAGCAAGGCTAAGAACTTTCTACAACTCTATCAGTGGCCATTGTACATGCCCTGCTATACCTAACTGCTCTTAACTACGACTATGGATTTTCTCTTCCCCATTTTCTTTCCCAATATATATATGCTCTTGAGTGAATCATATTAAGGGGACGCCCAAATTTTTCTCATAAACCAGACCTACTGTCCCTCCCCCCACCTTCACTTACTCAATCCTATTAAGCACAAGCTAGGGTATCCTTAACTATCTGTTCTGTGTGACAATATTTTTAATTTTGAATTCCCATACAAAGATATTTGATTGCGATAATTTCACCTTTCCTCGCAGTTAATTACTTAGTCAAGCTACCACTTAGTTTGCATCTCCGGTTTGCCG